CAGGAGGAACTGTGCTTTTGATGAAGGTCCTTGGAGGAGGACCTGGATGAGGGTGGCAGAGAGGCTCTGCAACCAGAGCCTGCTGATGAGAGGAAGGTCCCCAGACAAGATCTTCCCCTCAGGTTTATTTATATCCAGTTGGGCACACAGGGTCCATTTTCAGTTAGATGTGCTGCAGTGGGGCAGAGATGGGAACATCCCTTCTCCCAGCTCTGCTGAGGTCTAACAGTGCTGTAAGCTCACTGCAGCCTCTTGGAGAGACGGCCCAGGGCTAGCAAGAGGCGTAACATAAACTGTGTGTGATTTGTGCTGACTGCAGCGGTGGGTGCTTTAAGAGGGACTGGTCTCACCCCACCTCCTGCACCCTTTTGGAAACTGTCAAACAAACAAGCCAAAAAATGATGACCTCGATCTTTTTTTTTTAAGCCCTCCACCTTTCTTACAGGGAGCAAACAGGGAGGTGCTCCACACTTCCAAAGGCTGGTGTCTGTTGGGGTGCCAGGCTGTGTAGCAGCCCCTGGTAGCTACAGCCACAGCAGAGCTCTGGAAACAATGGCTCTGGAGCTCAGCTGTGCTTTCTAGTGCAGAAATACAGGATCACGGCCTTGCAAGCTGCTGCACACCCCCACAGGCGGAGGAGGACAGGAAACCTCTCCATTCAGAGACAACAGGTGGAAGTACCATTCTGGCTGACAGAGGTGGGGACCAGAGAGGATGTGACCCTCGAGCAGCAGACAGGATCTGCTGCTGGGCTCTGTGAGAACCAAAGCTGTGACGCAGCCCAGCCCACGGCTGGGTCACAGGCACCTGGGCGAGGGCAAAGGGCCTGGCAGGGAAGCAGAGGCTCAAACAGGACGTCAGGCTGCTCCCTGGGGAGGCAGTGAGCGTTCTCAGCCCTGTCACGCCACGCCACGCGCGGCCGCCTCCCCAGTGACTGGGGAAACCTCACCTGACCCTGCCAGGCCACGAGGGCTCAGCAGAGAAACAAAGGTGCAGTGGAGCGTCCCTGTGCCCCAGGCAGAGACACTCAGCGCCGGGCCCAGATCAGAGCGTGGGCGTTTCCTGCCCAGAGCCTCCTCCTCCTCCCGCCTCACCTTGTGCTGCCACACGGCCAGGGATAAACAAGCGTCGGAGGCACAGCCCGTTCCCACCCCGCCTCTGTGGGCTCCCAGCGCTTTGCATAGGGCTGGCAAAAGGACTCGGTGGTGGCCTGACTGAGCACTCACGCTGCTTTCTTGTGGCTGACAGCCCGGAGCAGGGCAGGCTTTGCCCCCGCCGCCCTCCCCGAGCCACACGCTTACCGTGCTTCACTTGCTTCAGTGTGGATGCAACCTGAAAGCTGAACACAGACTCACACAGGAACCTCTCAGAGCCATCTGTGAACAGAAAAAGGAGATGGTTGAACCCCAGTTTGAGGCTGAGCAGCCTTCAGAGCCCCTGACCTCCTGTTTTTATGTTTGAAGTGTGGGTTGACTCTTGCCTTGTTCTGACACTTTCCCCTGTGCTGACTACAGACCCTGCACAGGGCTTTGGCTGCTTCCTGAAGCTGCCTGAGAAGACATCCCAGGAGGAATTCTGTTACATTCCCTCTGACAAGCAATTTTAGTGCATTTTAAATAGAAGTTAAGCTAAGGAGAAGCCAGGTAATGTTATGGCAGTCTCTGACTCCCTCAGGGCTCAGACGCTCGTGTCCTTAGAACGCTTTAGGATTTCCCATGGGCTCAGACCATAACCCTACACAGAGTTTCTAATAATGTGTATCTTGCCATCCAAGTCAGTAATTGATCATGTAAGTGACTCAGAAATAAAACAATCTGGGAAACATAGCTAATTGTGTACCAAGCACTGCCATAGTTTATACTGCCTCCTTCTAAAAAACCCCAAAATACCTACAGGTTTATTTAGAAACAAGTGAGATAGCCAAAGCAGCAATAAAAATCAGTCAGACAGTGGGAATTTTCGAAGAGGAAACTGCAGCTTCTCCCCTGGCAGCTGCCTGATGAAAGAATGAGTGTATCACCTTTGGTGTCAGAAATTCAAAAGCCAGCCTAGAGCTTCCTGCAACAGGGACAGTGTTTGGTTGCTGCTGCCACCCAGAGCAGGTGAACTGCTGTGATCCTGGTAAAGAGGTCAGCCCAAAGCACAACCCATTTAAAGCTCTGTGCCACAACAATTGGAGAGCAGTTTCAAAGACAAAACTCTGGGAAAATCTAATCCAAAGCCGAACCCCAGGAAAGAGCTGGAGTTTCACTGTGCTCAGAGCTTCCTCTCACAAGTGCTGCCCCAAATACATTGTGGAGATATCAGCAAGAACTTTTTCAGGGAAAAACATTGGAAGGGGCTGTCCAGGTATGTGGTGGAGTCACTGTCCCTGGAGGCGTGCAAGGAACAACTGGATGTGGCACTCAGTGCTCTGGTGCTGCTGGCAAGGTGGGGATTGGTCACAGGCTGGACTCGATGGTCTTGGAGGCCTTTTCCAACCTAAATGTTGGATTCTCTGCTCCAATTCCCTGTCTGTCCTGCTGAGTGGCTCTCAGGAGGAACAGCTGCCTGTCTATTTGGTAACACGAGGTGCTTCATTACTTTAATTTGTTTTGAGGGCTTGTTAAGTTCTGTGAGCAAACCTTTAGTCATAATTACTTCAATAGCCTGGCATATGGGCTCTAATGTGTAATAAAAACAACCCTTCAACGGCACAGCCAGCAGCTCCCAGCTGCCCTGGGCTGCCACAGGGACACTCCAGCCGTGCCACGGTGACAAGGGAAGTTCAAGGGGAGCAGACACTGGTCTAACCCTGTCACCTGGAGGACCTGCCCTTCCTACCTCACCCAGAGCTTCCTGGGCTTCTCCTTCCACAATCCCAATGAAGCTGGTGGCAGGGCTCAGGCACCCAGATGCAGGCTGGCAGGGAGAAAAGCTGCCTCCTGGACTAACCCAGTCAAATCCAACCCAAACCAAGAAAATTACTACTTCTGCCAAGAAAAATATTCCTGTCTCAGCTATCCCCGCAGCAACCCCTGCCCGACATCAAAGGATTAGCTAACAATGAGCAATTAACACCGTCATGTTCCCTTTCAGGTAGATACTTCCTGGTCTGAAGTGTTGTCATGGAGATAAAAAGGAGGTGACAGCCAGAAAAATCCCTTCTTCATGGACTGGTGGGAAAGCCGGGACCAACCAAACCCCGGTGCTTCCTTTCTACCTCCAGCTTTTGCCAGCGGGGTGGGAAGTTCAGCAGCTGAAGGAGGAGCGGGGAAGGAGAAGGGCAGCAGCAATCACCTTCCAGCATCTCCCCAGCTCCTTTGGGGTAAGTGAAGAGGGTTTTGCGGGGCGGCGCCAGGTCCGACACGCTGAACCCCGAGCCCGTCACGGAGCTGCCGCTGACTCCGCCGGCCGAGGAGGATGAGGAGGAGGCTGCCATGGCACCCCGGGCCAGCCTGCGGGACACAGAGCAGGCGTTAGGAGGGATGAAGGCAGCGAGGGGCAGGATGAAGCCGCTCCCGCTGCCCAGGCTGCCCTGTGTGTGTGGGAGAGCTGCCTGTGCCCGCTGTGGGGACGGGCACGGAGCTGTCACACCCCGAAACTGAAGGCAACCCCCGCTCCGACCCCTCGGAATTCCCCTGGGAATTCATCCAGAGCGTGCACAGAGTAACGAGGTGCAGGCTGCTGGCCTGAATTCACCGACCTTCAGCTGCCCTGGCGCCGGTCCCGCTGCCCAGGGCCATAAAAGGCGGGGTTTCTTTCCTTTTTTTCCTCCTCGTTTCCAGGAGCACAAACACAGAAGCGCTGCTGCCTCATAAAACCTGGAAGGCTGCGGGACTGCCAGTTCCAGCAGCACATCCTGCAGGGAGCCACGCCGTGCCTAACCCGCAGCAGCTGCTTTCTGCATCACTCCAGACGTGCTTTTGCCTTTAAAACATTGCTTTTGACTTAAACTGGCAGTGCCTGAGGGTCCAGCACTGTGCAGCACAATTCCCGCTGCCTCTCGCACGGTCTCAGCCTTGTTTTTAAGAGGTACTGGGTTTGTCACAACGTGGGAATTAAAACTCCTCATGTCCCTCTCTGATAGTACAAAAGGTGTCACTTGGCCCTTATCAGTGACAGCACTTGTTGCTCCTCCAAATACTTATAAGCACTTCCAAATTATCCTGCCCATTTAATTCACTTCTGTTATCGTATTTAGTATACTGCTGCAGGCTCTGCAGGGTACAAACACAGTGCCCTTGGAAAGCACTCGAGGGTTTTGTGGACAAAATGGGGTTTTAAGGCCTTAAAGCTCATCTCATTCCACTCCCTGCCATGGGCAGGGACACCTTCCACTATCCCAGGGTGCTCCAAGCCCCATCCAAAGTGGCCTTGGACATTCAGAGGAATGAGACAGCCACAGCTCCTCTGGGCACCCTGTGCCAGGGGTTCACAGGGAATCATTTCCCTTGTGCCAGGGGCTCACAGGGAATAAGTCCTTCCCAATATTCCACCTATATTCCCACTCTGTCAGTGGGAAGCTGTTCCCTTTGTCCAGTTCCTCCAGCCCTTGTAAATAAGTTTCTCAAGAGTGCTCAATGTTACTGAGTGCACCACAGAAAACAGCAGCTCACAGGAGCCTGGGCGCTTAAGGGCCGTGACGAAAAACGCCTGCATAAAGCAAACTTTTATTTTTGCCACGCTACACCCAGCAACACCTCCCTCAGCAAACCCTCACGCTCAGCTCCCTGCTCGCAAGGGAGGTGCGACGATCGTTTGCGCTGAAACGATGCCAGCCGGGGCTCGCAGACATGACAGTCCCTTAAGTGTGGCTGCAGGGGGTTTATTTTAAACAAACGCAGAGGAGAGGAGGCGGCAGGTCAGGGCGATGCCTGGGCCTGTTACAGGAACCTCCAGCCAACGCCTCAGGCGCCTCAGGAGCCGCCATCTTGGGGGCGAGGAAACCCGCGCTCCCGCCCCAGAGACCACGCCCCCTCCCGCCCATGGTCACGCCCCCACGCAGGCCACGCCTCCTCCCCGCCCTCCCGCCCATGGCCCCTCCGAGCCGCTTCCCGGTGAGTGCGGAGCCCACGCGCCGCCGCAGCCTCTGCCCTCCCCGCGCTCTCATGCTGTCGCCCTTCACCTTCCGGGCCGCCGCCGCCTCCCGGCGCTCCCCGGTCCCGTTGCCGAGCCCTCTCTCCTTCACCCGGGAGCCCGGACGGCGGCTCGGTGCGGGCGGCGCGCGTGGCCGCGCTCGCGGTGCATGATGGGGCGGGGCGCGCGCTACTTCCGGCGGGGGGGGGGGGGAGCGGGGACAAAATGGCGGCGGTGAAGGGAGCAGGGACGCTTCGCTGCTCTCGCCGCCTTCCCGCAGCGGTGTCAGCCTAAAGCCGAGGGGTTCTGCTGCTGCAGTACCCGCGGGGCCCCGGGAATTTGTGCGGTGAGGGCCCTGCCGCCCTCCCCGGCTGGCCCGGAGCCGGTTCCCGCGGAGCCCCTCTGGATGCCACCGTCAGGAGCAGCCCCTGCTGCGCTCGGCCTCCCGCTGTCGCTGCTCGCTTTGCAGAAGTCCTTGTGTCAAAAAATTGTGACATTAAAGTATTAAAAACAACCCCCCCTCCCCCCCCGCCCCCGAAAAAAAGCCTGTAAGCAAAAGCCCCAGCGACTGATTTTTCATGGCTTTTCCCGTCATTGTGCACAGTTGGCCTCTCCACTGGTTCCCTTGAGCCACAGGAATTATTACTTTTATTGAAGTGTAATGGTTTTTATTGTCCTGTAAGTTCACATGATTGTGAGTCATTTCAAAAGGTGGGGCTCGAACTGAAGGGAGAAGTATTAACATTGACTTTCTCAGCCTGATGTCACTCTGTGATAAATGCTAGTTGCTTCTGTGGCCAGCTCTTGTTTTTTTCCTGTTCTGTTGCAGTGGACAGGTAATCCTTCTGACAAAGGTGAATTTTTGGGTGGAAACTTTATTTTCTGAGTAACAGATTCTGGTTAAAAATTGAGATCCAATATTAAATTAACCATGCCAGTGAATATAGAAATTTAATGCTGGGGATGTGAGGTCTCTGACAGAACACTGCTGGCTCTTTGTTTTAGCACCATTAAATGTTCTCCACTCTGAACATTTTTAACTCAGTGCCAGCTAAAGCCCAAAGAAACTATGAAATGTCACATTGCCTGAGGTTACAGTGACTTTTAGCTGAAACCTGTAAGTTTCAGAGTTACATAGCTCACACTGCTTAAATTTCCTGCTTCCACTTGATTGTGCTTTATGTACTTGTGATTTCTCATCAAATTGCTCTGTGACTGAAACACGTAAGGTTTGAGGAGGTGTTGCCTTTCTGAAGAGTCTACATGGAGGAGCTTTTAGCTCAGGGAGGGGAGGCTGAGATTGAATATTAGAAAGAAATTGTTCTCCTGTGAGTGTGGCAAGGCCCTGGCACAGGGTGTTCACAGAATCCCCATCAGAGCACCTGGGATAGTGGCAGGTGCCCATGGCGGGGCATTGGAACGAGCTGAGCTTTATGGTCCCTGCCAACCCAGTGTGCAAGGAGACACTGAAAGGAGCTTCTCCTTGGCCTGGGTTGGCAGAGCTGTCTGTGTTGTTGCAGTAGGAGGAGCAGGAGCAGGATGGATGTGCTGAGGCCCCCCTTGATAAGGATCGGGGGCCGAGTGTACCGCAAAAACCTCATCCAGGAGCAGCCCTTCCCACACGAGGAGGAGGAGGAGTTCTGTGCAGGTAAGGGGTGATGCTCAGGGGGTGTAAACATCAGCACTGGGGAGCTGGGGAGCTCTCAGAGTCAACTCTGATGCCTTTGTGGGCAGAGACCTGCCCATGTGGTGGATTGAGGTGTTCAAGAGGGAGAGGAAGGCTTTGTGTTGGTCCCTGATGATCCTGCTGCCCAAAGTGGAAGCAGTCCCAGCTATCCCAGGTGGGTTGGCTGACTGTGCTGCTGACTGTTCTGTTTTCCTGCTGACTGTGGGAGAACTGCAGGAAAAGGGAAAACCACATGAGCTGTGTAGATCTGTTTTTCCCAGGTTTCTTTCTTTCCCTTACTATCTTTATTTGCAGATATGGCAGCTGCTTGCTAAAGACCCTCTGTCCTTGCAATGTTTGTGCCTTTAAAACTGGCCTTTTGGGGACAAAATTCTTCGTGCCCTGGTGTGTTCTTTTGTCTTTCTGCCTGTATCTTTGCTGTAGTTGTGTGTGAGTTGTCGTGGCCACAGAAAAGCTCCAGTGTTACTTTTCAGATGGGGCTGTGGCATTGTGTCCTGTTTCTCCTCCCACCTTGCCTTCCAGTGGATTGCACAAAGCTTTAACCAGGTGCTTTCCATTCAAATCCTTCCCTGCTTGTGTTGGAAAGGGAATAGGCAGCATGGATTCTTCCAGGGTGTTCTGTTTGATCTGAGAACAACCCAACAGCCTGCGGATGAAAGGTGCATCTGTTTCTAAATCACTGGCTTGAACCCTCAGACCAAAACTCTCCTCACCTTTCCTCTGTCTTCTTCTGCAGCCTTAAATTTCTGGATTGTCTGCCAGAAGAGGCCATTCTCACTGTGTGGGAATTGCACAAACCCCAGCTGAGAAAAACCCTGGCCTGTAACTACCTGCTTCCTGTGCCTCCCTCCCAGCTGCATTTAGAAGCTGTCATTTCTGGTAGTGAGGTGATAAATACAAAACAGTTACCCACAGCAGAGAGAAGCCCATTCCTTCCTTCATTTCACCTTGAGAGAAGGCTGGAAGGAGGCTGTTGTCCTCCATGAAGCCCTGCCAAAGGTAACAGAGGTCTGGTTTTGATGTGGTTTTCGTGGCAGGCCCCGGTGAGTGCGCGGACGAGCCCTGCGATGCCTTTGTGGTGGAGGAGACCGAGCGAGGCTTCCAGAGCCGCCTGGAGGTTCCCAGCCCCCTGTACAAGTGAGCCTGTGGCTTATTGGGGAAGAAGTTGAGCACAGAATATTTATTTTTGGAGGTTTGGATCTCTGGGATGTGCTCGGGGTTGGAGCGCTGGGGAAGGGGAAATTGGCAGCGCCTTGAAGTGCGGTTGGGCCTTGCTTGACTCCTCACCGGCCCCGTGGGAGGGGCAGCAGGTGGTGCTTGCTGGCTGGCAGGAGAGGCTTTGAACATCTCTTACATCTCTTCCCTTGAACATAAAAGCATCAGGGAGGCTGGGAGATGGAAGGGGAGGAAGAGCTGGAGCGAGCAGCCTGGCAGGGGGAAGTTTGTGGGAGCTTTCAGAGAAAGCACACATGACTGGAATTGACTATTGACTCCAATCCCTTGTTCACTGGGGAACCTGTGGTGTTCAAAGTTTTATCTAGTTATTTTTGACAGTTTTATAAGTTAAGATAGTTTTGCTGAAATACAGAGAAGGAAAAGTGGTCCATTGTGTATTTGGATGCTGGCAAATGACTACCTTGAGCAAAGCAAAAAGCAGAAAAAGAGCCCTTATTTCTTCCTCAGCTGGGATAATGGGAAAAGACATAACCCAGCTGAGGGAGAGGATGTGGTGGGCAGAGCTGTTGTGGCCCTACCAACTTATTTTAACTTAAAGCAGTTGTGAGCCATAGCTCAGCATTGTCCCAGGCTGGCCATGTGTGAGGTCCTGGGGATCACCTCTGTGCCTGCACTGGAGCTGGGTGTGTGCTTCCATCCAGCACAGAGTGATGGAGAGTGCCCAGTGTCACTGTGTGAGGGAAACTCCTGCACTTTCTGCCTCCAGATACATCATTGGGAAGAAAGGGGAAACCAAGAAGAGGCTAGAAACAGAGACTCGAACCTCCATCAGCATTCCCAAGCCTGGAGTGGAAGGAGAAATTGGTGAGTAAATCCACATCCACAAAATGGATGTGCTTTTGTCTGCTCTTGCACAAGCACAGTTTAAGCAGGGAGGGGGTACTGGAGGTGTTTTCCTTTAATTCCTACTTCTTACACAGCCCTGACTCACTTTTTGGCCCTGGGAAAGTCACTTCACTTTTCTCCTGAGCTTATTTTTATTGTCTATAATCCTTATTAAACAGTGTCAGTTTTTTTTTTTTAAGAAGTCACTTCTAGGCTTTAAATGACATGAGAACTTGGATCCTGAATGTGTTGTATATTTTTTTTTTGTTTTGCTTTTAAAATAGTATCCCATCAATAAATAACTGAAATAAGCATTCATAGAAATGCTTGTTTATCTGTGTGCAAAGTAAACATCTGCACATGCTTTAATATGAGAAGGGTTGGGATGACATTCGTGACTTTCTGCTGCTGGCACTAGAGCCCAGCAGTCAGAGCAGGGCTTCTTGTACCATATGTTCCCTCTCATCAATTCCAGGGATTTAAAAAGAAAGGAGACCTTGCTCATCAGGGCTGACCCTTGTGGGTTCTGCCAGAGTGGGTATTTGGAGGGTTCCTTAGGCATGCTCCAGAGATTTCTGGCACAGGGATGTTTGTGACAGAGCTCTGAGGAGGAAATGCTGGGAGGATCCCACTGTGATGCTGCGCAGGAACACAGTGCTGCTTCTCAAGGAGTGGGTCTTGACTTCTTCCCAAGAACTGTGAAGGACTGTTAGGAAGGTTGAGAGATTTTGAAAACATGGCAAAATAGGAAGCTAAGGAAATTTTGCTCCTTGCTGTTCTTTCCTTTTGAGCTTAAGTGGTTCTCTGTTTGGTGCCTTGAAGTGCACACACAAATAACAGAGAGCAGTTATTTGATCCTTGATAGATTTCCATGGCATTTTCACTCTGCCTATCTGAAAACTTGAAATTATACTCTAGAAATCTGAAGGGTCCCTGAATTGGTGGCTCTCAGTGTTTTTGGGCCCTCAGAGCAGAGGGATGCCTCTGATGGCATCACCTTGTCTTTGCTGAGCAAAGCACAGCTGCGTCAGGCATTTTAAGCCAAGCAGGGAGTCTGGCAGGTTTCTCAGTGCATGGTTGGGGGTTTTGATTCCTGCTGCTTCCTTGGGAGGCTGGGACTAACAGCAGAGAACTTCAGGGAAGCAGAGGGGCTGTTTTTGCTGTGTTTGCCTGCAGTGATCACGGGGCAGCAGCGGAGCGGGGTCATCTCTGCGCGCACGCGGCTCGAGGTGCTCCTGGACAGCTTCCGCAGGAGACAGCCCTTCACACACTTCCTGTCCCTGCCCCTCAACCAGCCTGCCATCCAGCAGAGCTTCCTGCACTTCAAGGAGGAGGTGCTGCACAAGTGCTCTAAGGTAGGGATCCCCATGGAACAGCACTCTAATCCTGTTTCATTTATTGCGAGAGCTCTTTGGCATTTTTCTTGAAGACTTTAAGTCAGTGGGTCTGCTGTGAGTTTGTTGAGTGCTGTTGTGAAATTTTCTGAAAAGTGGAATGGTTTACTTAGATATCCTCCCATCTAGGAAAGTCTCTACTAACAATTCACTAAGTTTCAAAAGGGTTGGGGTTTTTTGTTTTTAATAGGAAAGTCACTAAATAATGTAGTGGACCTGTCTACATTTTATATGATTTTTACATAACCATCAAATTAGGTAAGAAGTTACAAATTTGCTGCTGCTTCTGTTTTACTTTCCTTTTGGCTCCTGCCAGTGCAGGAAGATGGGTGTCATTGCCAGAGCTGAGTGAGAATGACTTGGTAGCACATGCCATCCTGCAAATCTCATCACTTCCCTTCTTCCCCAGGAGACTTTGTGCTGACAGCACTCCTACTTGCCTTCAGATCTTGAGTTGGGAGGAGCAGGAAATAGTTAGGCATAGGGAAATGAGGAAGAAAATGAAGGGAAAGCTCTGCATTGCCTGGTTTATTTTAGTGTGCTTCTGGGCTGACAGAAGTGGTGTGTCAGTGCACAGGGCTGGACTAAGGAGGGGGAATGGTGTTATTAAATTGCCATGTTCTCTCTGTCTGCTGCAGGACATCTCTAGGCAGGAGAGAGGTCTCTCTGTGGCTCCTGCAGGTTGCATTGCAGGCACACTGCAGGGCTCTGTGGCTGATTCTCTTCACTTTCATCTCCATCACTTCTTCTGGTGCCTTGCTAAGGTGAAAATGCAATCTTGCAGATAACACAGCTTAAGAAGTTTAGTTTCCTATGTCTTCATGCCATGGGTGTGAATTATCTGACATCTGGGGAGATAGGAGTTCTTGCTCAAGTTCTCATGGTCACTTGCACGTCAGCTGTTTCATCTCCAAGAGCAGAAATGAGCTGTCTGTGCAGTCTTGTCTTTCCTGGCAGTCGGGATTTAAGCCCCTGTTCTCCTCCCAGCTGCTTAATTCCTTGACACCTTAGGAGCTTTCTATCACCTGACATTAAATACAGCTGAAATTGGCCAGCAGTTCCAGGGATTAGCCAGTGCAATGCCAGGAGAACCTTTCCCTCAGGCTAGGAGGATGATCTCTCCTCATTAGCCAGCAGCACTTCCTTTATTAAAGCTCGCCTTGATTAAAGGAATGCCCTGCAGGCAGGGACATGGAAACATTAGCCTGGGAAGGTGTGGGCTGGACAGAGAGCTGGGACCTGGGGCTGGCATCAGTGATGGCCTGGCTCCCTCTGTTGGTTCGTGCTTTGTTTGGGACACACCAGGGTGCAGTGAGGGAGGGGCTGGTGGCCTGCACAGGGCTCTGCAGGGACACACCAGGGTGCAGTGAGAGAGGAGCAGCTCTTTGGGGGCTGCACAGGGCTCTGTAGGGGCTGCCTGTGCCATTGGCTCTGGAGTGAGGCTGTTTATTTCAGCATGGGCTCTCTCTTGCCCTTTATCCCTTTCTGCCTGGGCTTATGGCTGCTGCAGCCCTTTCACCTGGCCTTCCTGGAGATCTGGCACTGCTGTGCCTGAAGGCTTGGCATCCTGGACTCCATGTATTTGATCCTCCTCCTCCTCTAGCTGTCTGCCAGGAGGTCCTGTGGATCTCTGTGGTCCCTCCCTGTGGCCTTGCCTGCTGCAGTAACCTCAGTCTATCCCATACCACCTACTGGCTTCCAGGCTGCCTTGCTGTTGGATGAATCCTCCAAGGACCTTTCTAAGTCCTTTCAGTTTCTAAGATGTGTGTTTTATCCACCTTTGCAGGCAGTGCTGCAGTTTGTGCTCCCCTCCAGTGTTTTCAGTCCTGCAGCACACCAGGCTCAGCCAGGCCCAGCCCTTCTCCCTGCAGAGCACTCATTTTCCTGCCTCCTTGGTGGGTTGCATCTCTGCAGCCCTCCTGCACTGGTGATCCTGCTTGCTCTCCGAACCCCTCCTGGTCTTGTCTGCCACACTGTGTCTCTTGTTTACTCTGAAATGTCAGTTTGCATCTCTGGGGAGAGGGGGTTTGTCTGCCATCTCCTAAAAACGTGCTCACACAGACTTTGTGCATTCCTCGAGTGCTGTCAGTCACTTTTGGAAGGAGCTGCCTGCAAACCTTCACGTGCTCCTTGTCTCAGAAAACTGCAGCAATCCAGCCTTGGCCAGAGAAGTGCTGAGACCAAGCACTGGCCATGTTCATCTTTCCTCCTCCTGCCTGTCCTTCTGTCTGTCCTGCAGGTTTTGTTGTGTCTGGACAGCTCCAAGTCCCATAAGGGCCTGAAGTGTTCCTGGCACTGCTTACACCAGCTGTAGAGTTTCAATTTTGAGTTTGAAATGTAGAACTCAGTCAGTAACAGGTATTCAGGGGGTTGCATATGCTTGGCCTAGGAATATATAGTGCTTTATTTTCCTGCCCTTCCTTCCCCTGGTATTAGCAGAAGGGTTTCTGGATATATTTATTGCTTCCTGTTAGTTGTGGAGTGCAGTGCAGCCCCGTGCCTCCCTCAATCACTCCTGCAGCCAGTAATGCCACTCTAATACCACTTTATCTCACAGCAGGGTCTGCTAGAAAGCACATCAGTAATGAAAAACAGTAATTCAAAACTGTGCCTCACAGAGCAATAAAAGAGCTTATAGATTTGTCCAAAGCAATGGGATTTCTCAGAATACTTGAGGAAATCTGAATGGGTTTCAGTGACAGAAGTGGGGTGTTTCTCTACCTGGTCCAAAACATCACAGAATGAGGTGAACTTCAGCCTTTGAATGAGGGATAATAATGGCAAGGAAGGGAAAGGGGCAGGGATGTTTGTGTACGTTGTGTGTGTGAGAATCTCTTCTGGCCATTGAGCATTTGTGAGGGACTCTGTTTCTCTCTGAAGCAGTTACCATGACAACCATTCATTTATATTTTATAGCATTTTGTTGGTAGGTATTTGCTTTCTAAGTTTTTTTGTGTGTGTCTTTAAATGCTTTTAGAAGATAAACCTTGTGCTGAAATACAGAACCCTTCAGGTGTTGTTCATGCTGTGCCGTCAGGGCTGGCAGGGAAATGAAGCAGGGCTGAGGGGAGGTTCTTTTAGGTTAATTTAATGTAAATATGGGGAGGTGGCTCACCTGGACAGGCTCATCACTGATGTGGTGCAGTGGGAGGTCTGGACAGCTGGATGACCTTGGAAGTGTCCTCTCTCTCACAGTCAGAGGGAGGAGAGCTGAGATGTCTGTCTGAGCATGCAGGTGGAAAAGGGAAGAGACTTTGCAGTGAAAAATCACAGTTGGGTCTTTGAGAGCTGTGCAGCCTTTGCAGACTGAACAGGCTGCAGCTGTGGCAGGGAAAGAAACGTGATTGCTCTCATATATGGCAACCTGTAAATACCAGACATTGCTAATGAGGTGTTTTATCTCAGAGTGAAAGGGACAGAAAGTGGGAGGGGTTTTTGAGCCTGTAGCTCTCCAGTCAATCCTGTGCAAATACTGTTTTCCTGGCTTACTCCTTTGTTTGTGCATCAGGGTGGCACAGGGCACAGAGCTGGCATGCAGCATCCTGCTCTTAAGGAAAAAAATCCTGAAAAACATAAATCTGTCTGCAAACATTGGGAGCTCTAAAACAGTAGGGAGGGCAGGGCCAGGGTGGAAGAGCTAAGGAGCTTGATCCCTGGGCTGAAGTGTGTTTAATTTAGGGTTTCCCTGCTACAGGGTCTTACATTTGGAGGGACAACATGCATTGGCTTTGCAAGGAGTTGGAGACCCCAAATAAAACTGTTTCTGTGTCCTTTCTAAAGAAGGAGAGCAGAGGGTAGCAGGGGGATGAAAAAATGACTGAATGGAAATGAGTTGAGTTTTTTTGACCATGACAGGGCAGTGCTAGGGAGAGGCATAAGCTGAAAAGGACAGTCACCACATATGGGTAGTGCATAAAGGGATTATTCTTCCTGCCTCTCAATACATCCTAAAGAGCCCAGGTTTGAACAGTAAATTTTTGTAGAGACCACAGGGCAGGTTTCCCTGAGGTGACTCAGTGATTGCTGATCACACATCATGATCTGGGGTTGGAGTAGTTGAGTTCCAGCCTTTTTGCATCCTGGTGAGCAGCATCCAGCCAGGAAGGGCTGCTCAGACACCCCAGGAACGTTGGCTGCTCCAGGGAGAGCCAGCTCTGACGCAGCATCTCTTTTCTGTGTGGGAGAAGTGGGATCTGCCGGCCTGTGAAAGAGTAGGGAGTGCAAGCAGGGTTTTGAGGAGCTGCCTGAAATACTGGGGAGTAAAGCAGGAGGATTATCTAGGTCTGGGCCTGCTCACTGTGCGCTGCCCTTCCCTGCTGAGCTCCCCAGCAGCAGCAGTGTGGCTCGTGGAGGTGATGTGCCATCCTTTGTCAGCTCAGCCCACACTCAGGTGTTGAAAACCTCAGGGGAAAATGCTGCTTTTGGGGCAGGGTCATGTTTACAGCACAAATTGTGCTGGGGCAGAAAATGAGGGCAGGGCTTTGGCCTTCTGAGCTGCAAAGGGCTGTGTTGCTGCACCTCATCCGTGCACTCTGTGGCCTCGTCTGGTTATCAGTGGCAAGGTTGAATCAAACCTTCTCCCAGGTTCTGCTACCCAAGCTGGTTTTTTGTGAAGGGCCAGATATTCTCTGACTGTAGATATCACTGGAGAAAAAAGGCTGACAGAGAGAAATCATGTCCTGTCATGCATGTGAACAGCAGCATGAATTGGAGAAGCCACAAAGCTTTTACTGCAGGGAGGGGAAGGCAGGAAGAAGTGAGATGGGGCCATCCCTGGTGTTTGCCAGGCTGTGGCTGCTGGAGCAAGCCCCTGGCCTCTGTTTTGCAGCCTGCCTTGTCCCTAATCCAGCCCATAAGCTGTGCTGTAGAGAAGGGTCTGCATGTGATCATTAGGCATGAAAAATGCTGAGCGAGATGTGGGGCATGAAACTCTTGACAGGCTGAGATACTGCAGCATTTAAACGTCTGAAAGGTTTTATTTCAAACTCTGGAGCACAGTAGAAACTTGAAAGCTGTTGTTCTCAGCTGGTGCACTCTTTTCAGATGCAGAAAGGCTTCCATGGCCTGGCAGGTTGGCTTCTTCTGGAGTTAAAATTGGAGGTTATTTAATGCGCTGATGGGAAGTGGCCACTAAGTGGAAATAATTGTTTTAATATGGGCGTGTTAACCATCCTTGAGGTATTTTTATAAGTATCCTAGAAGAGAATTGCACGTTTCTTAAAGCTGGATGTAACCACTGCTCCACCTGGGAGCAGTTCCTCCCCAGCAACAACACACAGCTCTTCTTATAAAGGGAATTTAAACTTAATTCACCTCAGCAAACTATAGGGTGTATGGGAAGCAGAAAAGTATAATTATCAGAGCTGGTATTAGCTGTGCTTCTGTTGTGAGGTGCAACCTGTGTTTAGACAGGATTTAGAGACCATTTAGAGCTTGTCACTACAGCTGGTCTCAGTTTTATTGCACAAGAAATGGATTGAAGTTTTAAATCTGACCTGGCTTGTGTTGAGTTCATTGCTGGTAGCAGATGCTGTGTCGACACCTGTGGAAGTCTCCTCCCAAAAAACCCCATACAAGTGAGTGTTGCAGGTCTTGGGTACCAAGTTACAGCCTGCTGTCCCGATCTTCAGGCTGCTGTTGAGCAGCTCTGATGGAAGAGCAGGCAGGGAGCAGTGGTGGGACTGCAGCTCATCTGCCAGGCTGAGAAATTTTCAACTTTGAGTCATTACCAACCCAACCAGAGATACAGGGATTGATGCCAGTGACTTGGTACCTGCTCTCTGTGGTGTTTATCCCTGTGGTGGAGCAGGGTGTGTGTGGATGAGGTAAGACACCTCTGTGTGATGGATTGATTTGTAGGATCACGGGGTCAGCAGCAGCCTGTTCCAGAACCCTGCAAAGCTCCACCTGACTATCGGGACGCTGGTGCTCCTGAACGAACAAGAGATCCAGAGAGCCTGTGACCTCCTGCAGCAGTGCAAAGAGGACTTTGTGGAGTAAGTGGTGGGAGAGGGATGTCATCACCAAGGCCTGGAGAGTGGGGAAGGCAGCACTCTGTCTTGATGAGGAACAGTGAAGAGAAGAGCAGCTCAGTAGTCTTCTTGCAACTCTAGAAATTGAGAAAAATTTAGAAATGTTTTGAAACATTTAGAAATGTTTCAAATGGGGCAGTAGAAATCACTGAGCAGCCACAGAGAGCCTTACAGCATCTGTAGCTCAGCTCAGACCCTCAGCATTCCCTGAAAACCTGCTCTGCTCCCTTCTCCTCCTCACGTGCATCCCCGTCCTTTGTGCCGGAGCGGTTTTTGCTGCTGTCCCCTGCCTGCAGCAGAGGGAGGGCTGAGCTCCCTTACCTTTGCACGCTGCCTGCAGTGGGCTCTGGCTCTGGCACTCCCCTCCTGCCTCAGAGCAGATGCTGAGGTGTCCTTGACACACATTCCTGGGCGAGGGGAGCCATCAGGAGCCCTGTGGGTGATCAGCCTGAGAGCGCCCGTGCTGCTCTGGGAGCGCGGCTGCCTCGCTGCCTCTTAACACCCAGCTGCAGATGTTGGGGCTTTGGCTGCAAGTGTGCTCCAGTGACACCTTAATTAGCTTATCTCTGGTCAGCTTAGTAATTGGAGATGGCCTGAGGGGGTTGTTTGTTTATTTATTTATTTATTTCTGCAAAGCCTTTGCACACAGTGCGCGGATCCTTTGCATTCATTCATTTGCTGCCTCGGTGCATGAAGAATTGGCCATGCTGTGCCAGCTAATATCTGTGGGAATTAATGCATGGCCAGAATTCATACCTCTGCCTTTAAAAGGATGGCTTCAGTTCAGCTGTTGAACAGAAATGCAAGTGTGTTTCCAGGGGGAGGCTCTGAATGCAATGTTTGGAAAGTGCCAGCTTCCACAGAAGTGGATTGAACTGATGCCGAGAAAATCATTGCTCCCTGTTTCCTTTAGTGAAGGGGGAATCAACACTTGAAGGTAACCTTTAGTTTATTTCCCCTTCCACACCCAAGTAAATATACTTGGAAAATTAATTAGGCTCCCTTCCACCTACATAAACCTTCATTAGCTTTCATTTCCTTTTCTAAAGTGCAGCCAGTGCCCTCTGTGACCATTCTGACCCTTTTTAGAATATGTGACCTTTAGTGCTGTTAGTTTGGTGTCCATAATAGTACATTTGTGCAGTTTCCCTCCCAGTAACTATACTGGAAAGGGAAATCACACTGCTTATTTCACTTGGGAATCTTTGCTGAGCACCTCCAAAGCTGAACAGGAGTGAGCAAGGTCAGAGCAAAGTCACACTCACCTTGTTACCTTGTGTTAGTTACATCTGCCTGCCCAGACACTCCCTGTTCTTTGCATGAGCCCTGGGTGTTAAACAAAGCATCACTTACTCACAGGGAGCACTGGCTGTGGCACCAGCCTCCCCAGGGTGCTGTGCTGGGAAAGGCAAGGAGGCAGAGTGCTGGGAAGCAGGTACACTCTGCAGGGTGTTTGCAGGTGTGGGAGTGCATATTATATCCTGCATGAAGAGCTGGAGCTGATTTCAAACCAGCTCTGTTTCCTGGCTGGATGCTGCACTCAGAACTGTGTTCTGTGTCAAGGACCTTTCCAGCAAATATCAGAGACTTTATGGTTGGTCTTTTCACAGGGAGGCAGGAGCCTCTCTGGAATGAGAACTTGGACCATTTCCTTCTGCTGGGTTTTCTGACATGTGGATGGAGATCTCCATGTTGGCCTGGCCTGTGAGCACTGACAAGTTGATTTAATGTGTGTCTGAAACACCAAATGTATGAACTCAAATTGTTTTACCACTCAGAGTGACAAGGCAACAGAGCCATAGGCTTTTGAGTTTTAGGAATTAGGGAGACTTTTTGAGTTTGAGTTTTTGCAGTGCTAACAAGCTGAAAAATAGGGGACAGAGAAGAACTCCTGGGTGGAGTTCAGTGCCCCATAGGCTCTGTATAACATTTAAGTCCCACTGTGGCAAAAGGAATATCTAATCTCATTCTCCTAGTAAGCCCAAATATTTGGTATGTGCACAAGGAGCACTATGTGTTACATTTCAAGAGCTGGTGTGATGTTTTGCTTTTTAACATCAGGAATTTCTTGAATTTTAGCCAAATTACTGGAGGCCAGCCCCTGACAGTGGAGGTGGCAGGAGTGGAGTACATGAACGATGACCCTGCCATGACGGATGTCCTTTATGCCAAAGTCCACATGAAGGATGGCTCAGACAGGTGAGTTCCCCCTGCTCCTGTGTCCCCTTCCTCCCCAGAGTGCCAGGGAAGCCCTCTGGAGCTGGTGGGTGTTCTGGCAGTCCTCAGGCCAGCAGTCACCAAGATGAAGTCATCCTTGCTTCCTGAAGCAGTCAAGGCAGTGATGTGTTTGCTCTTTACCTCACTCACTGCAGCTGAAGGATGTTATTTGTTTCTGCAGCAGTCTGTCAGGGTGAGTGATGGAGTCACAGCTCACACAGGGATCAGATGGCCAAGGAGATGCTCCTGAGAAGACTTAGAAGGCAGGAGGATTTGGCCTCTGCTGTCTGGTTCCCAACCTGCAGTCCAGATTAATCTGGACAGCCTGGTGTGTTCCATTCTGCAGCACTTAATTATTCTTTAAACCCAGTTAGCCCAGAAGGTCCTCAGAAGAGCATGACCTGATTGCAGAGCTGGTTTGTGTGCCTGCAGCAGCCTGGAATGGGTGCTGGCTGTGAAATGTCTTTTGGAGCTGCTGCTGCAGGATCCTGAAGCCTGGTTGGTGTCAGCTCCAGTGTTTGTGCTGTTCCCCACTGTGGCTGATGGCTTCAGCTCTGCATTCAGCCCTGCCCAGGATGTGCCACTGTCTGGACAACTTTCCTTCATCTTGTTTTTGACAAGGACAGTGTCACCAGTGGCAGCACCAGCTTTTCTCTTGGTGCTTTCTGGCAGACTGAGGAAGCACAGGTGGGGCTTGGAGCACTCTGGTCTGGTGGAAGGTGTCTCTGCCCATGGCAGGGTTTGGAAGCAGCTGATCCTCAACACTTCTTCCAACCCAAACCACTGTAGATTCTGTGATTAACCCAAGAGTTGTTGTGCTCAATGCTGCTGGGTGCCAGAAACAGGGAAGGGGAGTAGCCAAAAGAGCTTTACCTGCTGTCTCTGAGCCTCAGCCCTCTCTGCCTGCCAGCACTGCCCTTTGTTGTGTGTTCCCATTGCCAGAGGACAGCAGGAGCTAGCAGAGGAGCATGGAAGAGGGGGGCAGTGAGCAGGGACTGGCTCAGGGAGGAAGGGACGTGTGCTGGCATATCCTTTCCCTGAGGGCTGAGGAGATGCTGAGGGGGGGCCCTGCTAAAGCCACACTTTGGAGGCTGTGTTGGAGGCAGAGATCGGAAGTGGGATAAGGAAATGAGGGGGAAAATGAAAAATGCAAGAGCTGCTGAGAGGCAGTAGGAATTGAAGTCTTTTCTTGGCTCTGCCACTTTGAAGTCTGTCCTACCCTGGAAGAGGTGAGGTAAAAACAAATGGGGCAGGTGGGGAAGCAGGGCAAGGCAGAGATCAGTCAGGGCCAGAGCACAGGGAGGAGAGCAGGAGCACTTGGAAAGATGAGATGGAGACAGACACTGCATGACCCAAATGTCCTTTGGTGGGTTTGCTGTAGAGAGCATCTAAAATACCAGCTCTGGGCCTCTCCTCCTGAGTCACCAAGCTCTGGCTCTCTCTGAGGTGCAAGGCTTGCCAGTCTGGTTGCATCTGAAAATAAATCTGCAGCCTCAGGAGCTGGGAGAGGAATGCTGCAGAGCATAAAGCAGGGCCTGAATTGACAGTGATGCCTGCCTGCCTCTGGGGACAGCTGGAATTGTTGGCACTTGCACCCTGCTCTGTTTCAGATGCCAGCTGTGCCCTGTGTGGTGAGAACACACTTGGGCATAATGCTGGAGGAGGTGCTGATGTGCATCAGGGCTGGCAGAGCTGCTTTGGGCAGGGGAGAGAGGGGAGGTCTTCAAACCCACCTGGGCTTGAAACTGAAAACAGCACTCCCACCCCCAATAAGGGACTGATGTCTCCACTGTCCTTCACAGTAATCTGTTAGCTGAGGTTTTGACCAAAACCAGACCTTGTGCTTTGCATGGCACCTGGAAACTGCCAGGCTTCTCTTCCACAGCACCTGATTTGCTTTTTGCATAGCAGCAGGCTCAGAGAGGGCCAAGCAATTTGAAGTTCTAATCCTTGGCCCAGGCTGGTGCTGCCCTCACCTGCAGATTAATTCCCAGAACCACAGAACAGGCTGAGATGGAAGGGAGCAGTCAGGGTCATTGTGTCCAGCTCCTTGCTCTGGCCAGGACAGCCCAACAACACCACTCTGTCCCTGAGAGTGGTGTCCAAGTGCTCCTGGAGCTCTGGCAGCCCTGGGGCCAGTGCCAATTCCCTGTTCAGTGCCCCACAACCATCTGGGTGAAGCACCTTCTCCTGATACCATTTACCTGGCACTTCTCCCCTTATATAGTTCCTTAGCTATTAGCAAGCATCCAGAAAAACATTTAGCTTTGCAGAGGGGAAAAAAAAAAAGGTATTTTTGTATTGATGGAGAGCAGCTTTTCCTTCCTTTGAGATTCCAGCAGACACTTGTGTGGGACCTGCACTGATTATAGAGAGGACAAATGGTGATGCCTCCAGAAAGCCCTGCTTTGTTTTCTGGCCTGTGACACAGGTCACTGCTGAGCAGCTCCCTGAACCTGCTGTGCCTTGCTGAGGGAAATGGGGAAGCAGTTTATGAGCTGCCCGGCCAATGCCAGAGGAGAGCAGCAGCCACGTGGCTTCCTGTGCTGGATCAGAGTGCTGCAGCCTGTGCTGAGAGAGGTGTGTGCCTTCCTGTCTCATGCAAGATGTCCTGTTAGCTCTGTGGAGTTCCTGGCATGGCTGAGGGGTGGAGTTCCTTCCTGATCTTTGGATGATCTTGATCAGCTTAAGCTGTAAAGCAGGAGATTTGATTTATCCTGACTTAGCTTGCATAACTGCAGACAGAATTAGGGGTTGGCAAGCCCTTCTGCACATATAATGGCTCAGACTGAAAGAGGGATCATGCTCTGATGCCTCCCACATGGCAAATAATTTCCATTATAATTCATTCTAATTTGTTTTATTTCCTTGATTAACTTTATAACGTAATAAAGCACCATTTTCACTTGAGCTATTCTCTGTTAATTTGTTTTAGTATTGTCTGTAATGATATTCATTTAATCTTTGTCATTGCTTAATTTTAACAATCACTGAACTATAGCCAGAAAATAGTAAAAAGCCATGACAATTGGTAGTTTGAGAGTCTTGGAATGGTCACAGGGGGCTGGCAGCCTGTGAGGGGCAGCCCAGAGGCAGCAGTGGGGTCAGAGCTGGCAGCCCTAGGCTCTGGGGACAGGCCATGCTCTGCCACAGCTCAGACACCATGGTGGGACCTCAGAGCAGAAAGCTTCTGATCCCTGGGATGTGCTGGGGAAGCTCAGATTCTTCTGCACAGGCTGAAAACCCTCTGGCCTTGTTGTCAGAGATGGGAAGCTCTCATTGTGCCATATCCTCTCCACCTTTGGTGAGAATCAGGCACTGCAGAGACTTTTGGGCACAGCAGCAGCCTGGAAGCTCCTTCAGCTCCTTAGACATGAGCACAGTGCTCTGATCCCTGTCCTAGGATGGGTCTGCCCTCAGATCCTGAGAGTCAAGGCCAGACACAAAGGTGGGAATGAGTCCTTGGATTTTGCTTGCTCAGTAGCTCCAAGGCTGGAGTGCTCACCAGGATGTGCTGGCAGGGTTTGTGGCCCTGTCACCACGTTGCCAGACAGCAAGCCCAGGGCTGGGTTGGTTATTTGGGGCAGAGAGGAGCCAGGCTGCAGCAATCCCTGAGCACATCCTGGGAGCCAAGGTGCCCAGGCCCCTGCGGGTGTGCAGATTTTAGCATTTGCAAGGAGAGTCACATTGTGTTTCCTGGCAGTAGGAAGATGCATCCTTCAGCTCCCAGTAACATCTGTCACTGTGAGTGAGCTCTGTGCTGTGCTAAATCTGCCCTTCCTCCTGGAATATTTGCAGCAGAAGCGATCACAGAGGAAGCTTTGTGCAACACTCAGAACTTTTTGCATTAGAGCTGAATGCTGATGCCTCTGCTCGCTTTCCATCAGGGACTGGCTCCCTTTCCTGTGTGCAGGCAGAGACTTCATTTCACACTTGCTGCCCTTCTGGCTGGAGAGCCCACAGCTGGTGCTGCAGAGGCTCCCTGTTTTACGTGGCCCTGTTCTTTCCCTTTGCTTCCCAGGTTGCAGGTGCTGGCTGATCAGCTGGTGGAGCGCTTTGTGGCCTCTGGCCTGATGCTTAAAGAGTGGGACAGGGTGAAGCTGCATGCCACAGTCATGAACACTCTCTTCAGGAAAGATCCAAGTACGTACAGAGCCTTCATCCTTGCTGCTCAATGCATTTGAAGTAGTCCTTTTGCTCAGCAGATGCTTTTGTTTGCTTTTTCAGTGTGGTTTTTCTTACTTACAGGGCTGGGGGGGAGATGTCTGCAGATGAAACCCAGAAGCAATGAACAAAAGTCATAGATTCAAAACCTTGGCACCCTGTAGCCCTGCTAGGGAAAAATATGTTCAAGTAGAATCATAGAATGTCCCGAGTGAGAAGGGACCCACAAGGATCATCCAGCCCAGCTCCTGGCCCTGCCCAGGACACCCCAACAATCCCACCCTGTGCCTGAGAGCGTTGTTCAAACACTCCTGGAGCTCTGACCATTTCCTGGGGAGCCTGGGCAGTGTTCCCTCTGGGCAAAGAACCTTTTCCCAATATCCAGCCTCCCCTGGCACAGCTCCAGCAATGCCCCTGGGTCCTGTCCCTGGTCACAGAGATCAGAGCTGCCCCTGCACTGTCCTTTGTGAGGAAGCTGCAGACCCTGATGAGGTGTCCCCTCAGCCTCCTTCAGGCTGAACAGAGCAGGTGACCTCAGCCACTCCTCATGGAGGTGAGATCTTGGGCACTCTGTGTCCCAGTGTTAAATTGAAACTGGGTAACAACTCCATGTGTTGTGCTGACCTTCAAACAAGATGAAAACATAATCCTCTCTGGTTAACTTAGAGACTGCCCATTTCTTTAGGAAAGTGATTCCATTGTCTTTCTCCTTAAATCAGATGCAGACAGATGAATGTGATGCGAAGCTGAATGTGAGCTATTCTTGAGTGTATGGCGTCTGCTGTCTCTGCCAAGAGATTGTCTGCTCTGAGCTGTCTCTAGCATCACTCTGATCACATTACTTTCTAAAGCAACCCTAAAAGCATCATCCTTGGGGAGGGGCAGTGTGTTACAGCCTGGTTCTCCATGTGCAAACATGTGTGCTCTGGCCCCTGTGCACTGCAATAGGTTGTGTCAGGAATTCTTTAGTTGTTGCCTCTCTGAATCTCTGCAGGGACAGTGATAACAGCAGGTGATTTGTGCCATTGTCTTCTGGGCAGGTTTTGGCTCTGACTGCTGCTGGAGTCAAACAAGCACACCCAGGGTGTAGAAACCCTGTAAAGAGAGGGCTCAGTTTGAGAGCCCTGGAAATGTGACCCCAGAGTGCTGCTGTGGCCCTGCACGTGGGCAGCTGGTCTGGCATCCTCAGTCTATATTCTGCACAGCCCCATGAGGCACGAGAGGCATTCAGACACAATGGGGAGAGCATTCCTCAGGCAGCCATAGGAGTCTCTTTGTATTCCATACAGGATCTGAACAGCAAGCTGGATGTTCACAGTTAATGATGGAGATGAAAAAGAAATACTGAATGTATTCACTGAGGGAGGCAGAGGTGCTGTGGAAGGCACAGATCATGTACTTGGGAATTATATAAAAACCCAGCCGTGCTCTGGGGAAATGGATCTCGCATGTAGGCTTTTGGCAGCTGCTGCAGGCCTGGGTTGCTATTCTGAATGTCTGTGTGTGGCTGTGTGCCCACCCCACAGAGGCATCCACAGCACATACGGGGTGCAGGCAGCACAGGTTTGTGTCAGGGCTGTCCCCATCCTGCCTGGCGCTGTGCTGGCACGCTCAGCCTGGGATCTGGGGCTGTTCCAGGCCATGCAAGTGCTGTCTCACACCCTGCCATGGCAGGATGAGGGATGAAAACAAGCCAGGGAGAAGCAGGTGTGTTGCACTGAGCAGTCAGCCCTACAGTCACCATGGCAGGAGCTGTGATTTGGGGCCTTTCCTCCAGGTAATAACAGAGGTGATCCCCATAGAGGCACCAGCTCCAGCCCTTTTCCTCCTAAAATCCAAGTGGAAATGGTTTTTATTTGCACTGAGAACTGGGAAAAGATGGTTTATTAGCTGGCAGCTGACTTTGGGGAGGGACAGAGTGGGGGGTGAAGTACAGCACACAGAGTTCTCCCATCTGAAGCTCATTCTGCTGGTGGCTTTTCTCTCTACAGCTGAAGAACGAAGCAACACAATGCCTGGTAAATCATCTTTCAAGGAGCGGGAGTCATTTAATGGCCAGAATATCCTCAAGGTCAGTATGAAACAATTAGGGAAATGGAGCCAGCCGTGGATATTGTATAGCCAGAAGAGGTCGAAACACCTCTTCTAAACTGCTTTTGTCTTGGGCTTATGGGATCTCCTGGGGCTTGGGAGGGGTGGGGGGGAAGGGGGGAATCTGTTTAGAAAATAACCAGTCCAGATCACTGGTGACTGGGAGCATTAGAGTGTTTAACAGGAGCGTTCCTGGAGCTGCTGAGGCTCAGAGCAGGGATATGAAGCACCAATGCTAAGTGGGTGTTCGTGTTGTCGTTTACTTCGCTCCTGTTTTACCCTGGAGACTCAGGCTCGAGTTGATTCTCAGCCCACCAGAAAGAAGCACTTCGTTGCTCTTGTTCTACTCATATATATTTATGAAACTAAACCCCACTCTCATTTCACTTACTCTTTCCTTTTTGGGTTTTAATCTCTGCTATTGATTTGCTCCAGAAAGATACTGGGTAGTGGTAGGGAGTCCCACCAGGATCCAAGGGCTTTGGCAGTGATCAGAGGTTAGAAAACACAATCCCCCAGACTGTGGAGGTTGGGAAAGGCTCAAAGGGGAGCACACTGCAGACTCCCAGGCTTTGCCAGCCAGGGCTGGGGCTGCAAGCAGCCTCTGCTGCTCATCCAGATGGCTGTGGCAGACTGATGCTGTGCTGCTTGACCCCTGCAAGTGTCCGGAGAGAAAAGAGATGCTCAGAGGAGCAGAAATGGAGAACAGCACCAGCATGTAAGCAAATGTGCAATCCTCATTGTGTGAGAGGATTTGTTGCAGGCAGCTCTGATAAGAGGGAGCGAGGACAATGTGTGGGTACATTTGGGAAGGGTAAGAAGATATTCTGGCAACGAAGGTACATGAGAGAGGATGGAGGCTGGGTGGGAGCTGGACAACCCAGAAGGACTTCAGAGCCCTCCCGGAGGAGGGGAAGAGTGAGCTTTATTTGTATTTACAGTGTTAATAATGTATCAGGCACTGGATGCAGGGGGATGTGAAGGCAGGGAGTGGAACTGATTGATCTGTGTGCAGAGGACAAACAAAGGGACAAAATTAGGTTAAGCTCTCATTGTCCTCAAACGGTCTGTGCGAGCGTGGTGTCATGACTCAGCGTCACCACGTGTTGAGTGTGCAGTGTGAGACTGCAGTATTGCAAGCTGGAGCAGGGAAGCCACAGCCCTGGTCCCTTTCTTGATGTGATCTGCAGTTTTAGATAGCTCCCACTGTTGGGAGAGGCAGCTCTGGAAGGGGGAGATTTGTGTCAGGAGCCCTGAGTGCCTGCAGGACTCCCCTTTTTCCACGTTCACCTTCACTCCTTTCTCCTGCTTCTGTTGAACTTGTCCTCAGGCTTTAGAGACACATGAAATCAAACTGTGGGTCTTCCTCCGTGCTCTCATCCCAAAGCGAGTGTGACTGGGACGGTATTAACGATGCTCCCTCTGCTGGTCACACCGTTTGTGGGGCCTGAGGATCTGGGGAAGGGTCATAGGGTGCGCGGTGCTTGGAAATGCAGCCGCACTCCTTCCGAGGCTACTTCTTATTCTTGATGCTCTCGGGAATAAGAGCCCGATGCATTTTTAAAGCTCCTAATTGATTTTGTTCTGACGTAGCCAAAAGAGCTGCTGGCTGTTTGGACTGCTGGTAATTACTTCAAAGCATGTCTTGCCACAAGAAATGTCATCCTTCTCTCCCACCTCCACTACATTTCCTAACCTGCCCGCTTCGTATTTCCCTTTGGTCTCCCACGTGCCTGCAGCAGAAGGCCCGTTGGCATTAATTAATTACGTGAGTCATAAATAGCTGCAGGCTCCTTACCGGAGCAGCCCAGCCTCGGTGAGGCACTGATGCATTCCAGCATGACCTTGCAGGGATGCGCCAGCTCCCTCCCAGCCTGCTTTTATATCCATTATTTATCTTCTGCTGGGGAGGCTGCCCTCTCACAAAGTGGCTTCATTAACTTTTGCACCAGGATCTAAAGGAAGGGCTGTTAATGAATATGGCTGCACTTAGGCAGGCTGGTGGGAGGGAGGGCCATGTGCCCTGCATGTGATTCCAGGCAGTGGGACTCTGTGAGAGCTCTGCTGAGTGGCTGTGTTCCCACTTGGAACGCTAACAAAGCATGGCTGCTGGTAGGAGGGGAAGTGGGAAAACTCAGGTTTCATCACTCTCACTGCCATTGTGCAGCCCTGTAGGGCCAAAGGCTCAGGGCAGGGCTGGAGCTGTCGGGGCACAGAGCAGGATGGGAGTGCTGTGGCTCTGCTGTTCCATGGTCAGAGCTGGGCTGTGTGTCTGTCTGTCTGTCTGTGCGTGTGTGCAGATGCGCTGGCAGCACATGTTTGCTGATAACATGCCTGCACTACACCAGGCTCCAGCTGGTATTTTGCTTTCAGCTGAACTAATCAGAATTTTATTTAATAATCCTTTGTTCTACCCATTCCACAGAGTAAAACATACACTCCTATTTGTGCTAATAAATGGTTGTGCAGGCCGGTACCTTCCCACACTGCTCAGAAAATAGATCCTGTAGGATGACTTGCGTTTGGGAGTTTAAATTACTTCTGTCTTGAAGAATATCCCTGAAAAGGTTTCCTGGCATAGGTGGGGCTGAGAGCCCAAGGGGCTGTGTGAGATTTGTGTCCAACAGAGCTTTGGGCATGCCATAAAGCTGGGGATGCTTCATGGACATGGAGCCATACGTATTCCCTCTAGGCTGGCTTTGAACATCCCAGCCATGCGCCAAAAGCGTTCTCTGGTCAGGAGAGCGGAGGGAGGAGGCAGCAATTCCTGCTGGAAGGCCCCAGCAGCACAGGCCTGGGGGAGCTGCTGGGTTGGCAGAGCCCTGCCGTGTCCCTGTGCTGCAGCTGGCACCGAGGCACCCAGGGCAGCTGCTGGCATCTCCGGAGAGACGAGGCTGCGCTGCCTCCGGGCTTTTATTTGTTTTTGTTTAGGGGAAAAAACCCAACTAAGGCTGCAGTGAATAAATGAAAAGGGAAAGAAACGCAGAAAGGCCGGCTGGCCAAAAATTTCTGTGGCGCGTTTAAGGGAAAGGAAGAAAACCACCTGGACTCTCACTGGGTCCAAATGGAATGAATTTTGGCTTGAGTTGGGGTCTGAGAAGTAAGTGAATGGCCTTTGCCATGCTCAGACAAGAAGGAAGCAAATTCTGAGTGCAGAAAAAGCTGAACTCTGCTGCTTAGCACAGATCCGTGCATTAACAGCTTACAAGATTAAATATTGAGGGAACAGCTACTGAGGTACAGCAGCAGAAAGCTGCACATCTTATGTCTTTAGGGCATTAGGGGAGACTTTAAGCTGGGATGGAAGACTGGGAATGGGATCAGCCAAGGTGGTGACACATGCTGCCGTGCCCTAGTCCAGCAGCAGGGCTGCAAGAGTGCCCGGGGAGGGCTTCTAGGTCAGATAAAGCATCATTTGATGAGGCTCCTTCTCTTTTGAGGCCTGCATCAGTGTATTGAGTTCTGGCACTGTACCTGCTTCCACTGGGAGCAGGGGAAAGTGCATTTACTGTCTGATACTCTGGAGAGCCAGTGGTGTTCCCTGCCAGCCTGTCTGTCCTGCTGGGTAAGAGCAGTGTGGTGGCTGGGGCATGCAGCAGTTCAGTTTAAAACATTGATGCAATGCCACACAGAGAGGTGCAATGGAAAAGAAAAACCTTGGTCTGAATAAACCCCTGACCTCTCAAAATACCCCAAGCCCACCAAGCTCTAAACAAATGAACGTGTGTAGAGCCAGCTCCACTTGCAAATGAGGAGTGTGTCTTGTGTTCTGCAGCAGTTGGAACCCAGGCCTTTTGTGTAGTTTTTGTTTGTGGATTTGAGGAGGCTGAGTCTTTTCCTGATATATTTCTAAGCTGAGGTGAATCAAAGAGCCAAAGAACCGGTGTTAGGTGGGGATCAAGACTGCCTGGTTTTCAGAAAGGGTAAAAACATCTTGTTATCCTCAGCAAGGTGGTAAAGATGTAGATCCAAAGTAGGACTGACATCTGGAACAAATACCTCACAGGAGGTGGCTGCTTGGAAAGTTTAGAGTTAAAAATACCAAACAAAGAATCCACTGAGGTGAGGGAGGACTAAGAGACTGTGGTGCAACATCAGGATCTCAGAAATAAGGCAGTGCTTTCCTCACCTCGTTTTTAGAGAAGAATCAAAAGCAGAAATGAAAGGCTGTGCTGGCACTTTGCAGAGGGGAGAATTCCTGCCATTACCCAGAGGTACCGGAACAATCGAGGGGGCTCAGCAGTGTGCAATTAGAGCAACAGTGGGATGGGAGGATGTGACAGTTGAGCAGATGAGACTGGAGATCAGTTTGTATAATCACGGGGAAAAAAAGAAGGAGATTAAATTGGGGTTGCTGTGAAAATGCTTTCCTGTGAATTATATTCTTCAGGGGGAGAAAAAGCCATATTCATGTTATTTGCATTTGATGAAACAGGAATCTGAAGTGGCATTTGAAAAATCAGAGCAGACAAAGGAGGGAAGATATCTTTGTTGGAGTGTTCAGGCCTTGGAGGCAGTGTTGGAGGTTCTGGGGGAAGGCTGAGCCACGGCGCTGAGGAGAGCGCAGTGCAAAAGGTTTGTGCTGCCTTTGCATGACAGAGATCTCTTTGGTGACCTTACCAAGAAACGGAAAAGCCTTTTTTTTCCTCTCAGAGGTGCTCTACACCCCTCTGACTAATTTTAGCAGGATCTGTGAGAGCTGGAGGATGGTTTGGGGAGAAAAGAGCTCTGAATGCTCTTTCCCCTGCACCTCTGCGCTCCCACCCAGGCCAGCAGCTGAGCCCTTTGGAGGTTCTGTGGGTGCCCCTGCCTCCCACCCAGTGAGCATCCCCCCTCCTCACTTCCCTGAGCTCCCTGCTGTGCCACCAGCCAGCCAGGGCAGTGTCACCTCTCTCATCTTAAGAGGACAATTTTTCTCCGTGGAGCTGGCAGGGGTTGAATTACAGCAGTGCCTTAATAGAAGGCAAGGACCCAGCACAT